TTTCCCGAACAACGAATACACGTCACCCTTTGCGCACACTCCTTGGGCTCTAGCCGCAGCGAGTAGCGCTGAACATTACAGCCAACTCAAGTAGACGTAGCGGCTGCTGGCAGGGAGCGGGTTCGACTTGCTTGCCCTCTTCTCGCTTTTTGTCCGCTTGCCCTCGTCTCTTCTCTTTCAGCTATGTTTGATCATCATCGTCGTCATCGTCGTCGTCATCATCATCACCATCATCATCATCCGCCTCCGCCTCCTCCTCATCATTATCCTTTTCCTCCTCCTCTTCCTCCTCCTCCCCCTCCACCTCCTCCTCCGCCTTTTCCTGCCCCATCTCCTCCTCCATATCCTTCGTCTTCTCCTGCTCCACCCCGAGACTAGTTGTTAGGGCGGGCCGGGCGTCTCGCCTGAGACATCTTCACCATTCATGATTCTGACGCTTGAGAATTTGCAACAGCTTCACAGATGGAGGGCGGCTCTTTTTCAAATTGTGGCTCTCGCCTTAGTGCCGCGCGCGTTCGTTTTAAACATTGGCAATAGCTTCGCGGATTGAGGGCGGGTGGTTTTCAAAATGTGGCTGTCGCCTTAGCGCCGCGCACATTCGTTGCATTTGTCCCACAAGAACTCCACGAATTAAGGGCGGGCTGTTTTCAAAATGCATATCCGACCTTAGCGTGGCGCACATTCGTTTTCAAAAACGTTGCAACAGTTTCACGGATCGAGGGCGCTTGGTTTTCAAAATGTGGCTCTCGTATGAGCGTTGAGCACATTCATTTAAAGACAACGCAAGAGCTTCACGGATGTGCGGGCGGGTGGTTTTCAAAATGTGGATCTCGCCCCAGCGCCGCGCACATTCGTTTCAAACAGTTTCAAGAATTTCACGGGTTGAAGGCGGTTCCTATTCAAAATGTGGTTCTCGCTTTAGCGCCGCGCACACCCATTTCAAAACATTGCAAGAGTTTCACGGAATTCCATGATCAAAGTACCGGAACGGTGTTTCGGAAGGATTCAGGATTATGCGGGTGCAGAGGTTATGTTGCAGCAGTCATGTTGATCCGTGGCGTTAAAGTCCCGAGAAATGTTCTGGCATGTTTCACTGTCTTCAAACGGTTGTCTTCCAACGAGGCAGATTCGTCAATGGAAATGAACCGTTGTAGGGGATCATGAAGAGGGAGCTTGGAGGGAGGGTTAATCCTGACATCGTTGATGACTCTTGGGTTTGCAGCGGTCCTCCTCCTCCTCCACCACCTCTTTGCCTATCTCCTCCGCCTCCTCCTCCTCTTTTTCCCCCGCCTCCTCCATCTCCTCCTCATATTCCTCCGCCTCTTTCTCCATTTCCTCCTCCTCCTCCTCCTCCCCCACCTCCTCCTTGTTGTCCGCCTCCGCCTCTTTCTCCGCCTCCGCCGCCTCCTCCTCACCATCATCATCATCAGCATCATCATCATCATCCGCCTCCGCCTCCTCCTCCTTTGCTTCCTCCCCCTCCTCCTCCACCTCCATTCCCTTTCCTTATACGTACCTTTTCCGCGTCGTACCCCGAGGCCAGATTTTAAGGCGGGCCGGGCGTTTCGCCTGAGATTCCCTCACATTGCATGACTCTGAAGCTTGAACAGTGACAACTGTTTCATTGATGGAACGCGGGTCGTTTTCAAAATGTGGCTCTCGCCTTAGCGCCGCGCACATCCGTTTTAAAAACTGCAAGGGTTTGACGGATTGAGGGCGGGTGGTTTTCAAATTGTGGCTCTCGTATCAGCGCCGCGCACACTCGTTTTGAAACATTTAAACAACAGCTTCACGGATTGAGGGCTGGTCGTTTCCAAAATGTGGTTCTCGCCTTAGCGCCGCGCACATTATGTTTAAACGTTTGCAAGAGTTTCACGGATTGAGCGCGGGTTGTGTTCAAAATGTGGTTCTCGCTTTAGCGCCGCGCGCACTCGTTGAAAACAATTGCAAGAGCTTGACGGATTGAGGGCGGTTCTTTTTCAACATGCGGTTCTCGTCTTAGCGCCGCGCACACTCGTTTAAAACGTTTGCAAGAGTTCCACGGATTGAGGGCGGGTGGCGTTCAGAATGTGGCTCTCGCCTTAGCGCCGCGCACATTCGTTTCAAACGATTTAATCAGCAGCTTCACGGATTGAGCGCGGGTGGTTTTCAAAATGTGGTTCTCGCGTCGGCGCCGCGCACATTGGTTTTTCACACTTGCAAGAGTTCCAGTGATTACCATGATCAGCGTACCAGGACTGGTGTTTTGGAAAGGTTCAGGATTATGCGGGTGCAGAGGTTCTGTTGGTTCGCGGTGTTGGAATCCCAACCATGGCGTTCTGGCACGATTCTGGATCGTCAAGTCGCAGCAGTCAGGTTGATCCGTGGCGTTGAAATCTCGAGAAAATGTTCTGGCATGTTTCAGGGTCTTCAACCGGTTGTCTTCCAACGAGGCAGTTCCCCCAATGGAAATGAACCGTTGTAGGGGCTTGTGAAGAGGGAGCTTAGAGGTTTAATTCCAACATCGTTGATGACTCTTGGGTTTACACTGGTCCTCCTCCTCCTCCTCCTCCCCCTCCACCTCTTCCTCCACCTCTTCCTCCTCCTCCTCCTCCATCTCCTCCTCCATCTCCTCCTCCATCTCCTTGTCCTCCTCCTCCTCCTCCTCCTCCTCCTCCTCCTCCTCCTCCTCCTCCTCCCCCATCTCCTCCACCACCACCTCTTTGTCGATCTCCTCCGCCTCCTCATCCATTCCTTCTCCTTATAAATAACTCCTCCCCGTCGCACCCGAGGCAAGTTTTCAGGGCGGGCCAGGCGCTTTGCCTGAGATGTTTTACCATTTATGATTCTGAAGCTTAAAAAGTGGCAACAGCTTCACAGATGGAGGGCGGGTCGTTTTCAAAATGTGGCTCTCGCTTTAGCGCCGCGCGCATTCTCAAACATTGCAAGGATTTTACGGGTTGAGGGCGGGTGGTGTTCAATCTGTGGTTCTCGCCTTAGCGCCGCGCACATTCGTTGTTAACATTTGCAAGAGTTTCACGGATTGAAGGCGGGTCGTTTTCAAATTGTGGTTCTCGCCTTAGCGCCGCAGACATTCTTTTTAAAAACATGCAAGGGCTTCACGAATTGAGGGCGGGTACATTCGTTTCAAACATGTGCAAGAGCTCTCGTATGAGCGCCGCGCACATTCGTTTCAAACATGTGCAAGAGCTTCACGGATTGCGCGGGGGTGGATTTCAAAATGTGGATCTCGTTTTAGCGCCGCGTACATGTTTGTAAATGAAAAGCGCAAGAGTTTCACGGAGTGAGGGCGGATGGTTTTCAAAATGTGGTTCCGCATTAGCGCCGCGGTCATTCGTTTGTCACAAATGCAAGAGTTTCAGTGGTTCCCATGATCAGCGTACCAGGACTGGTGTTTTGGAAAGGTTCAGGATTATGCGGGTGCAGAGGTTATGTTGGTTCGCGGTGTTGGAATCCCAAAAATGGCGTTCTCGCACGATTCTGGATCGTCAAGACGCAGCAGTCAGGCTGATCCGTGGCGTTGAAATCCCAAGGAAACTGTCTGGCATGTTTCAGGGTCTTCAAACGGTTGTCTTCCGACGAGGCAGATCCTTCAATGGAAATGAACCGTTGTAGGGGCCTGTGAAGAGGGAGCTTGGAGGGAGGGTTAATTCCAACATCGTTGATGATTATTAGGTTTATACTGGTCCTCCTCCTCCTCCCTCTCCACCTCTTCCTCCATCTCTTCCTCCTCCTCCTCCTCCTCCTCCATCTCCTCCTCCATCTCCTCCTCCATCTCCTCCTCCATCTCCTCCTCCATCTCCTCCTCCATCTCCTTGTCCTCCTCCTCCTCCTCCTCCTCCTCCTCCTCCTCCCCCATCTCCTCCACCACCACCTCTTTGTCGATCTCCTCCGCCTCCTCATCCATTCCTTCTCCTTATAAATAACTCCTCCCCGTCGCACCCCGAGGCAAGTTTTCAGGGCGGGCCAGGCGTTTCGCCTGATATTGTCTACCATTTATGATTCTGAAACTTAAAAAGTGGCAGCAGCTTCACAGATGGAGGGCGGGTCGCTTTCAAAATGTGGCTCTCGCTTTAGCGCCGCGCGCATTCTCAAACATTGCAAGGATTTTACGGATTGAGGGCGGGTGGTTTTCAAAATGCGGTTCTCTCATGAATGCCGCAGTCATTCGTCTGTCACATTTGCAAGAGTTTCAGTGGTTCCCATGATCCGCGTACCAGGACTGGTGTTTTGGATAGGTTCAGGATTATGCGGGTGCAACAGTTATGTTGATTCGTTGTGTTGAGGTCCCACAAATAGCGTTATGGCACGATTCTGGATCGTCAAGACGCAGTAGTCAGGTTGATACGTGGCGTTGAAATCCCGAGAACAATGTTTTGGCACGCTTCAGGATCTTCAAACGGTTGTCTTCCAACGAGGCAGTTCCCTCAATGGAAATGAACCGTTGTAGGGGCCTGTGAAGACGGAGCTGGGGGGAGGGGTAATTCCAACATCGTTGATGACTTTTGGGTTTCCACTGGTCCTCCTCCTCCTCCTCTTTCTCCTCCTCCTCATACGCCTCTTTCTCCATCCCCTCCTCCAGTTCCTCCTCCTCGTCCTCCTCCTCGTCCTCTTCCTCCTCCTCCTGCTCCACTTCTTTGTCTATCTCCTTCACCTCCTCCTCCTCCTTCTCCTCCTCCTCCTCCCCGGCCTCTTTCTCCATCTCCTCCTCCTCCTCCTCCTCCTCCTCCCCCTCCCCTTTCCCCTTCCCCTCCCCCTCCTCCTCCGCGACGACCTCGAACGCTGCCCATCTCGGCGGCGAAATCCCAAGCCTAATCTCGCCAATCAAAGATTCAGGCAACTCGATGGGCGGTGGGGGTAGGGTTTGGAATTCGTCGAACACGTGGCGAAACCCGAACCCTACACCTGTCTCCCATCGATTCGGGAGAGTCGCTGGTTTCGGGGTGGGGGGTAGTGCTCGGATGCCGCTGCCTACCCTCGGAGTAGAGCCGAAGTTGGGG